ACATCTCCCTTGCCTCTTGCTTCCACACATTCTCCATTTCCAACTTTAATGTTTGACCGATGAGAGTGATCTATGTTCACAAAGCTGCTTAAATCTAGTGTCATGTGATGTGTGCATCCACTGTCAATTAGCCAGGTATCATGACAAGTTTGGATCAGGTTGGATGAGGCCACAAACAGCTGCTCTGTCTCTTGCACTGGTTGTTGTTCATATGTTGTTTGAGCTTGCTGTTGGGACTGCTCTCCCTTGTTTTTGCACACTCTTTCAATATGGCCAAACTGTTTGCAGGCCCTGCACTGTATACTAGGCCTGAACCAGCATTTGTGCTCTACATGTCCCTTCCTTTTGCAATGAGAACAAGCCGGAAAATTCTTCATCCCACCAGCTTTTTTCCATTGGTTATTGGACCTTTCTTTTCCTCTCTTTTCTCTAGCAAACTCTCTATAGTTCCCTTGTACAGACTTGCCCTTATAGGTTGCTAACATTGCCCCTTCATTTGCATCCTCTAGCCTTATGAGCCTTTTTTGCTCTTGTGCCTATAGAGCATGGACCAGCTCAGTCAATGTGATCTGAGTCAGGTCCTTTGAGTCCTCCAAGGATGAGATCTTGGTTTCAAACTAAGCTCACCATTACCTTCTCCACAATTCTGCTATCTGACATCTCCACTCCAAGCAATCTGATTTTGTTGACAATGTTCATTAGCCTGTCAACATATTCCTTCACTTTCTTAGCCTCCTGCATTCTTAATGTTTCAAACTCCCTTTTCAAATTCAAAACTTGCATGTTTCTTATAGTATCACTTCCCATGAACTCCTCCCTCAACTTGTCCCAAGAATCTTTGGCTGTTTCGCATGCCATAATCCTTGTGAAAACAAGGTCTATGACAGCTGAGTGAATGTGAGACAAGGCTCTTAGAGCCTTTGAACCTTCCTCTTCATGCATTCGAATTTGGTTGAGAGTGGGGTTTGGTCCCAGCTGAGGGGGTTGTTTCTCTTCTTCTACATACTGCCAGAGTCCTTGGCCCCTTAGGTATGCTTTCATTTTGACTGACCATACATGGTAGTGTTCACCATTGAACACAGGAGGTAGAAGGGAAGCTGTTGGAGTGATCATTTGTTCAAGACAAAACAGGTTTGATGTAAGGCAGTTTCCCGGAGAGTTGGATGAGTTGTTTGGAGAAGAAATGTTTAGATTTTGGCTGGAATTAACACAGCTCTGATACCATGTTAATGTTTTTACACCAAAGATAACAAATAAACGAAAGAGAGCTAAATTGGAATGAAGAAAGTTGCCTTTTTTTTGCTACATTGACAAATGTGTTTACATTGCAACTAATAAAGCAAATATTACACTGTTGCACCAACTTTGCATTCATATAATAACATGATTTAATCTAAAGCCACAAACTTAATACCAACTAATCAATAACTATGCAACACATACCTTATAATCTGGAACACATATCTAGCATTACAAAATAAGCAAAACTTTGCAGCATATCAAATGGACCCCCGACAGATTTCCTTTTAGTTTTGCCGCCAACACATATTCAAAAAACTCTTAGTAAATTGTTGCATTTTCAGCCAAGTATCAATGTTCAACAAATATGCATCATCCCTATCTTTGCACATCACTTTAGGAACAAATTTAGACACATGGAATCTGAGAAGACTTTTCAGAACAAGACTACATAGCTTTTGGAATGTATACATAATCTTTTTACCTCCTTGTTCCTACTTATACTGAACATCTGTTACTTGCCACCTTTCTTTTTGGATCCAAATCATTCCAATTTGCTATCAGCAATGGCTCAATACCTACTCTTCTTAAGTCAGGCATACCAAGACTAGCACAACTTTTATCAAATGCCAAGGAATACTCTGTAGAAGATTGGGGTAAAATTCAATGGTTACCTTCCAGTCTTTTTAAACATAAGGAATAAAATTGAAGAGGTGTAACCAAGTCTTGCACTTTAGGGCCCGCTTAGGAGTTTCGTGGTAGTGGTTATGAGGATAAACCACCATAGCGGTTTTGAGAGTAAACTACTGTAGCGGTTTTGAGTAGCGATTTTTAAAACACCCAACCTGTGCTTGGGAGTTTATTTTTAAGTAGTTCTAACAGTTTTTTAAAATAATAAATTTACATATATGCCCATAAAAATACCCAACTTCAACCAGTACTCGGGAGTTTTGTTTTTTCAATTAAAAGGTAAGGGTTCTTTATTTGTTTTCTACTTATTTAGTATTTTATAACTTCAAATGTGATAAAGTCACTTTATTCTTCTTCGCCATTTTTTGTAGCATCTGGAATGATTAAAAAATTGTAGCTCCACTTCTCCAAGAAGCATCTAGAAATGAGATTTAAATTTTTTTTTTTTTATGATTACTTAAAATTATTTTATATTTAATATGGTTGGAGATACGCATAATATGGTTAAATATTTTTTTTTTTGGGATATAATTGGGATAGTTTTGTAGTGGATAGGGTATTTGTGGAATAAAATTTTAAAACCAACCAAAACACCCCGATTTGGGGTGTTTTATAAACCCCTAAAAAATACACTACACTGGTTCTAAGGAGTTTTTGAGTCAATCAAAACTAGTACATAAAAAATCTGGCAAGTAATAGTTTTAGAACACCTCAAAATCAATCTAATTAAAAACCCCTCAAAACAAAATAAAAAAAAAAAACTCCCAAGTAGACTCTTACAGAAGTTGAAGATTCAAAGACAATATTAAAGTGTCAACTTTTAAAACTCTTCCACTAACTATAATTCATCAAAAATCTTTAATTAATTCCTTAATGATAAATTAACTCGTCCTTTTCTCTTAAATAAGTATTTTACTATGAACTTAACTCTTTGAATATCTCTTAAATAACTCTCAACTTTCTAGGCGTTAAAGGCATGATGTTTGGACTTCTTTTTGTTAATAAAAATTACAAATTTAAATTCGTACTTGACATTAAACTATAACGTGTTAAAACTGAAAATTATGATGGATTGAAGGCAATGGAATAGGGTTAGTCATACATTATTCACGAAGCAAAAGACAAGGTACTTTAATGCAGCTTCTAGTTTGCAGGGGCTCAGAAGAAACAAACCCATGTGATTGTAGGATGGAAATAGCTATTGCGGTGGTTGGCATGTACAAGTTTAGCTATATGCTTGGCTTTTACCAAGCTAGAGCAAGAATAAATACCCTTTCTTTTCACTGCCAAGTCGTTCAGCAACTTATAGTAGGCTATATCTGAAACTGATGCGTTCATATATGAGAAGCATTTCGAACCACAGGATTGAGAATAGTATCATTGAATATCCATTGCAGTTAATGCCATTGTTAAATTAGAGTTGTTTTCTGACGTAAGTTAGGAGAACATAGTTTAGTTTTTGAACATAAGATGTCCACGATCTGCTTAACAAGTAGAAAATGTAGTTCAAACTGTTTTTTCTATTTATTTTTCCATGAATTCAATTGATTAACCCTCCGAAAATCACAATAGGGATTTGTATAGGGCAAGGCAGGTTCCATTGGAAACTATTTGCTCATAAAAAAATAAAAAAATTGAAAGTCAATAAATCTCAGGTATATCTCAAACTGGAGGAATTTTAATCAAGTTTATATTAATGTATCAACTATCTTGCTACAGTGTGTTGTAAACTGTTTACAAATATCCAACTATGGTTGGCTTTAGAAGCTGCAAATTAGAGATGGCTGGTTACTTTGCTCTTGATGGAGATGTGAAGATGGTAAACAGTGACCAGTAGCTAAAGACATGAGCAACGCCTTCTTAACATCTTTTGCTGCATGCCTTTGGATCAAAGAGACTACATACTCCATGAAAACTGCATCGCAAGGCAATGTGATAGGTCCGCCACTTGGAGGTCCAAACTCATCTTTTGCCAGTGCAAATAACTCTCTGATGATGATGTTTTTAAGCCATTTTAAGGGAATCACAAAGCGCCTCTGATCAGCAGTGTATACAACAAAATGAGCCTTCTTAGCCATTGAAGATGTGCTGCAACTCTCTGCTTCAACAACCCCAGTGGTTCTCAGCAATGAGATTCTTTTTCGCTTGCTTGCAGCCAATTTCTGCCACTTCTTTGCTAATTTGATTAGCTTCTTTGGACTAATCATGTTGTTTCTTGATAACTAGAGAAACAGATCTTATGTTGTGTGAGAGAAATGTAGTGGACCTAAAGAACACTGAAATACTGTGTTTGCTATGGATTGAAGGCTACTGAACTAGTTTTTTTATATAGTCACAAGGCTAGAGACAGTCCATTTAATGCTGCTACGCTTATGTAGGGACTCAAGGGAGGCAAAACCATCTGATAGAAAGATAAGCATAGCTGTATAGGCAATTGGTCAATTCACTGGGTTGTGTTTATAATTTGACACATCAAGGTGGAGCCTTGCGCACAATAATTTCATGTTCTTCCTACTGGCGGTCTGATGGCATGTTGGTCCAAATCTGCTGGTGTTAGTGGCTCAAAATCACAGACCACATAATGCAGATATAATGGTCATGTTGAAGGTTGATGCTGTGCTGGAAGTTTGGTTTGCCGAATGTATGAAAACCTGAAAAAAGTTTTGCTCTGCATAGACATGCATGGGAGTGCTTCACGGTTCAGTGGTTTAAGTTCTACTGTAATTTAATGTTAATCCTTGTATTTATTGGCTCAGCTTTTTTGTAATGAAGTTGTTAGTTTTTTGAGTGGTTTAGCTGAGATTAAGGAAAAGTCTCTGATGGTTGTTGAAACAGTAAGTGGAAGTATGTTATATGCAGACTTTTGTCTAATGAAAATATGCCCAGTTTTTCAGTTTTTATCTTTCTTCTTCTTTGCACAACCAGCATCATAAAAACGAACATGGTATCAGAGCCAAACTAACCAACCATCGTCTAACAAGTTCACTCAAAAACTCATCCCAAATCACCATCAAACTTCAGCCTTACGCAAGAACCAAATTTTTCAAAAAAAACTGCAACCAGTTTTACGCATGGCTTCTCAATCTACGTCTCTCTCACCTCCAGTGTTCAATGGGGACCAGTATCACATTTGGGCTGTTAGAATGAGAGCCTACCTAAGAGGACAAGGGCTGTGGCAATATGTGGAAGAGGAGAAACAGCCACCTCAACTTGGTCTAAACCCAACTTTGAATCAAATGAGAATGTATGAAGAGGAAATGTCCAAAGCTCCAAGAGCTCTCTCTCACATACATTCGGCAGTAACAGACCTTGTATTTACAAGGATAATGGCGTGTGAAACTGCAAAGAAAGCTTGGGATAGACTAAGAGAAGAGTCATGGGAAGTGATACAACCCGTAACATGCAAGTCATGAACCTGTGCAGGGAGTTTGAAATGCTGAGAATGCAGGAGGTAGAGAAGGTTAAAGAGTATGTAGATAGACTTATGAGTGTGGTGAACAAAATGAGATTGTTGGGAGTTGAGATGAGTGACAAGATGATAGTTGAAAAGGTGTTAGTCAGCCTTCCGGAAAGGTTTGAGTCCAAGATATCTTCCTTAGAAGATTCAAAAGATCTCTCCCAAATCAGCCTCACTGAATTGGTTCATGCCCTGCAGGCCCAAGAACAAAGAAGGTTGATGAGGCAGGAGGACTTAAATGAAGGTGCTATGTTGGTTGCTCAAAAGGGTGTGAATATGCAGGGAAGTAATATAATTTATGCTGGGGATAAGAGAGGAAAAGAGAGAGCTGGTGGACAGTGGGGAAAACAGAGTGGAGGAGGAAATTATCGACCATGTTCCCACTGCAAAAAGAAGGGACATCTGGACAGCAAGTGCTGGTTCAGGCCTGGGATTCAATGCAGGGGATGCAAGCAATTCGGCTACATTGAGAAGGTGTGCAGGAACAAAGCTGCACAGCCACCACAGCAAGCACAAAGTGCAGATGAACAGCAGTAGACTAGTGAATCAGAACAGCTGTTTGTAGCTTCATGCTACTCAATGCAGACCTGTAGAGATGTTTGGTTGATAGATAGTGGATGCACTAACCACATGGCAGCAAATGTGGAGAACTTTGTGAGGTTGGACAGGACATACAGCTCCAAGGTTAAGATTGGAAATGGTGACTATGTAGAAGCAAGAGGGATTGGAGATGTGGCAGTCCAAACTAAGGCAGGAACTAAGGTTATTTCTAATGTTCTGTTTGTACATGAAATTGCACAAAACTTGTTAAGTGTAGGTCAAATGTTAGAGAGAAATTATACCTTGCATTTCCAAAACCATTCTTGCATTATAAAGGATAGTGAGGGAAAGGAGTTGTTGAGTGTAAGGATGCTTGGCAAAAGCTTTCCTCTAGACTAGAAAAAACCAGAAAACTCAACATTAATCACCAAGGTTGAAGAGTTTGAGTTATGGCATAGAAGACTTGGACATTTTCATTACCTTGGAATTAAAGAGCTCAAGTCAAGGGACATGGTACTAGACCTGCCCGAGATAGAAGAGAAAAGGACTTTGTGCATAGCCTGCCAGCTTGGCAAACTCAGCAGGCCATCATTCCCTTTGGATCAAGCCTGGAGAGCAAGTCACAAGCTACAATTGATCCACTCGGATGTGTGTGGCCCAATGAAGACAGAATCCTTAAATGGCAGCAGGTACTTTGTACTCTTCATTGATGATTTCTCAAGGGTGGCTTGGGTTATTTCTTGAAGCAGAAAAATGAAATGGCTACTGTGTTCAAACAATTTAAGTTGCTGGTGGAGAATGAAGCTGGAACCTTGATCAAAGCAGTAAGGACAGACAATGGAACAGAGTACACCTCAAATGAGTTCAAGACAGTCTACAGCCTAGCTGGAATACAGCAGCAGTTCACAGCACCATACACCCCTCAACAGAATAGTGTTTGTGAAAGAAGAAACCGAACCAATATGGAAATGGCCAGGTGTATGATGACTGGAAAAAACCTCCCTAAAGTGTTTTGGGCAGAAGCTATTAATACAGCAGTTTTCCTGCTAGATGGGCTGCCCACCAAGGCAGCCAAACATCAAACACCAATTGAGGCATGGACTGGAGTCAAGCCAACAGTAGGGAACCTGAAAGAATTTGGAAGCATAGCCTATGTAATGATCCCAGCCAGCAAAAGGTCCAAGTTGGATGACAAGGCAGAAATTGGGATATTTATAGGCTACAGCAGTAACTCTAAAGCTTATAGAGTTTATGTTCCTGAGTCCAAAAGGATTGTAATCACAAGGGACATAAAGGTTGATGAATGTGGAGTCTGGAATTAGGAAGAAAAAAGGGTTGATGTGCAGGCTGAATCAAGTCAGAATGAGAGAAGAGAAGGACTGATTCAGAGGCAGATTCAGATGAGGAAGAAGATCATGCTATGAGAGGAACTAGAACCTTGGCTGATGTGTATGAAAGGTGCAATACGGCAGTGGTGGAGCCAAGATGCTATTTTGATGCTACAAAATCTGAATTATGGAGGGCTGCAATGTAGGAAGAACTGAGCATGATCAATAAAAATCAAACCTAGAAATTGGTACCAAGACCTGAAAATAGAAAAGTCATTCAGGTTAAATGGATTTTCAAACTGAAAATAAACCCTAATGGCTCAATTTACAAGCATAAAGCAAGGCTGGTGGTGAAGGGTTTTGCACAGCAACCAGGCATTGATTTTTCAAAAACTTTTGCCTCGGTTGCTAGGCAAGACACAATCAAGCTGTTGTTGGCTCTTGCAGCTTAGTTCAACTGGAAAATTTTCCAACTGGATGTTAAGTCAGCATTCCTGAATGGATGGATTTCAGAGGAGCTGTATGTAGAGCAACCCGAAGGCTACAAGGTTGAGGGAAAGGAGGATTATGTGTACCTATTGAGGAAGGCATTGTATGGCTTGAAGCAGGCCCCTAGAGCTTGGTACAGCCGAATAAATGACCATTTATCCAGCCTTGGATATACTAGAAGTCCTAATGAGCACACTCTCTACATTAGGAAAACTGAGAAAGGAGTGGCTGTGGTTTCTCTATATCTTGATGACTTGTTGGTGACAGGGAGTAATCCTGATGAATTGGACCAATTCAAGTTGGATATGCAAGCTGAAGGGGTAATCAGTGAGCTTAAGGAGAGTCGAAGGGTCATGACCGACAAGGCTGTGAAAAGGGTCATCTTGGTGGATCTATGATACATTGTGTTGTACCAATATTTTGCCCATGATAACCAGTTTGGCCATTGTCAGGGCTATGAGCTGTAGAAACAATGAAGTTATGCCTCTAAGCACCGATTCACCACTTCGGATTGGCTGTTCGTTTGATGGTGGTAAGCGGAGCTAAACTTCAAAGCTGTCCCTGATACTCTGAAAATCTCTTGCCAAAAGTGACTCATGAAAAGTCTATCCCTGTCAAAAATGATGGTCTGAGGGAAACCGTGAAGCTTCACTATCTCTTTCATGAACACTAAAGCCACCTCCTTGGTGGTATAAGGGTGTGACAAGAGCAGAAAGTGGCCATATTTAGTCAATCGATCAACTACGACCAGAATGCTATCGAATCCCTTAGCCCTCAGAAGGCCTCCAATGAAGTCCATTGTCAAGTCATCAAATTCCTGAGCGGGAATAAGAAGTGGCTGAAGTAGACTTATCGGTTTCAGAGCTGAGTGTTTGTTAACTTGACAGATGGCACAAGTTTTAACAAAGTCTTGGACATCCTTCTTCATGCCTACCCAATAAGCCACATTGGCAATCCTTTTGTACGTCCAAAAGAATTCGAAATGACCTCCTGCGGAGCTCGAATGAAATTCAATTAGTAATTTCTGAACAAACCGAGAACCTTTAGGTAAAACCAACCTGTCCTTGTACAATAGGCAGCCTTGCCAGAGTTTGTAGTTAGGTTGCCTGTTGGGTTCCAAAACCAAGTCTTGAATCAGCTGCCTAAGCTTGGGATCCTAGTGGGCTTCATTTTCCAAATCCTCATACTTCGCAAACTGAATCACCAACAGAGAAGAAAATTCTGATTCCTCATCTCGTCGGGGATAATATCGATGACCTTATTAGTGGTTCCCGGCCAATAATGAATGTCAAACAAAAACCCCATTAATTTGGACAACCGTTTCTGTTGTTCCGGGGTCTTAATCCATTGGTCCTTGAGAAATTGGAGGCTTCTCTGATCTGTTCGAATGATAAACTTCCTACCCAATAAGTACAAACTCCATTTGTGCACAGTGACTATGACAGCCATTAACTCCCTTTCATGGACTGATTTTTGTTTAGTTTGAGGGGGAAAAGCCTTACTTAAGTAAGTTATGGGTCGTTTTTGTTGAACTAATACAGCTCCCATATTGTGACCCGAGGCATCTGTGTGTATCTCGAATGGAGAGTTGAAATCCGAAGCTGCCAGAACTGGAACTGAAGTCATAGTTGTTAGTAAATGGTCCCGCATACGCAGCGGAAACAAATAAAATAAAATACAAGGATCGTTTACATGAGCCAAGATCAAGGGTATAATTTTACAATTCATATTAAAGCAAGAATCTGCAAAAATTAATAATCTGTGTTTAGAGAAACAAACGCACGTTGGAGGCTCCTCCAAATTTGTCGACGAATGTATTGCTACCGATCCAAGTGTAGGATCGAACCAGCATAGTCAACACGAAGACAATCTCAAAAGAACTAAGGAGGGATTTGCTAGATCCTCCTTAGCCTTAAGAATCAAGAAGACAAATCAAATGAATTGATTTTGGGCAAAAATTGGATTCTGCCGTGGGAGTGTAAAATGGGGCTGTGTGTTTTGTTTTTCTAAGAAAAAAAAACTTGATGAAAAATCACACACTTTTCTTTTTATGGTAAAAACAATTTGCCCTAATCCCATACAGAATAGGCTTGGGCTCCAACCTAAATGCCTCATGTTGCCAAACACTCCCAATTTGATTTATTTTATTTTCCATCATTATCTCAATTAAAATCAATTAATATATATTTAAATATATATTAACATTTAACAATAATGATAATATATTTAAATATGTGCGAACACACATTTAAACGTAATTTCACTTATTTAATTTTTCTAACAAATTAAATAAAGGCTACGACCTCAGCAAATTTAATTGCACTGTAAAATTACCAAAATACCCTTTTGCCTTAAAAGACGAAAACGCCCTTCTTTCTTCTTGGATCTTAAATTGTCTTCTATGTGTGTGACCCATAGGCTCCTCATCATATCGGCAGTGTATAGTATCGCGATTAACACCAATTAATCGTCTCACTAATACACAGACCAAGATTGGCCCCTAGCAAGGCATCATGGCCACCCGATAGATTCGGATTCAGCAAAGTAGCTACCTGTCAACGATATGGTTACCGTGCAATTCGATCCTTTCATCATACATTATCTCAACGAGACAAAGGCATAGAAATAGTGTCAACCTTCGATTACTCTCGATATTATTTATTCAGTTTCTAGACCAATGAACTATATTATAAACTGGATAGAGCAACAACTCAATCCCACTGTGGCCACAGTTTTAGTGTCATTGCCATATACTGAATTGCATCGTGAGATAACTTTCTCCCATACCCGGGAGTGATGAATCCTTTGTCAATCCACCATAGTCTTGATGCAGCCAATCACCACCGTATTGACAGCTCTGAAAAGAACTGTATTAGGCTAGTGTCAAACCACACCAATCAGTGCACAAGGCGCTCCGGTGATCTCAAGTCTAAGGATCACATGCACCACCATTCGTTAGAGGATTTGTTCCATAGACACTGCGGTTACCATCCATGTGGGATCCTTTGGTGGGTCAGTCCAGTGAACTTGTTGTGGTATAATCACCTACAGCAAGCACCCATGTGTTGCACCAAGTTGTCACCAAACAACATTGAAAAGTGAGATCAGTCACTGCCTTTCGACAGGGTCGTTCAACACTATGATAGCCTTACTGTATTATCTGTGCCCTTACTTTAGAATAATACTGGGGCTACGGGCGTTTCTAGAATGGCCACCATATGTGCTCATAGGGTTCTCACTATCAAGATTTGAAACACTTGATACCCTCGTCACGGTTCTACCATTCTAAGGACATATATCAATACATATTGCAATAATAATGATTTACACGATATAGAATAAAATTGCCATTTATTGATTAATGAACATTATTACAAAGAGTCAATTCCACAATAATTGATTGGCTCTAGGGCACCTACTCCAACAATAGCCTCCTTTAAAGCATGAAAGGCCTATTAGGCCTCCCGATCCCAACTAAAATAGTTTTTCTTCAGTAGTCGCTTGAGTGGTTGGGCTATGCTGCCATACCCCTTAACAAATCTGCGATAGTACCCCATTAATCCTAAGAATCCACGAAGGCTTTTCACGTTGGTAGGTGTGGGCTAGGAAACCATAGCAGCAATTTTTTGGGGGTCTGCCTCAACCCCATTAGCCGAAATCAGGTGCCCCAAGTATTCCAGCTTTTGTTGCTCGAATAAGCATTTTTTTAAATTCCCAATCAATTCATTGTCGTCCAGAATCCTTAGAGCTTGCCGAAGGTCTCTGATGTGGGATTCCAAGTCAGGGTTGTATATCAGAATATCGTCAAAAAAACCAACACAAACTTACGCAGGACTGGCTTAAAAATGTTGTTCATTAGTGACTGAAATGTCAAAGGAGCATTGGTCAAACCGAACGGCATAACCAAGAACTCATAATGCCCCTCATGTGTTCAGAAGGCTATTTTGGGGATGTCTTCGTCTTTGATTTTGATCTGATGGTATCCTAATCGAAGATCCAGCTTAGAGAAGATGGTTGCCCCCGCCAATTCATCCAACAATTCCTCGATGGTCGGGATTGGAAACTTGTCAGGAATTGTTATTTTGTTAAGGGCCCTGTAATCAACGTAGAACCTCCAACTTCCATCTTTTTTCTGGAATAACAACACCGGGCTGGCAAATGGACTGGTACCAGGTTGGATGATACGGGCGGCTAACATCTCTTTGACCAATTTTTCAATTTCATTTTTCTGAAAATAGGGATACCTATAGGGTTTGATGTTAGGGACTGGGGCGCCTTCTTTAAGGTTTATGGCGTGGTCCTGGGTACAGCGTGGAGGAAGTTTGGATGGCTGGTTAAAAAGGTACTGATATTGATCTAAGATTACCTAAATTCGCGAACCGACATCTTTTCCTGTGGTCATTAGCTTTCCCTTAATTGAACAACACTCCACCAAGAACCCTCCCCCGGTGTTGTTGATGGACTGTAACATTGATTTAAGTGAGACAACTGACTTCACCAGAGATGGATCCCCTTGTAAACTAACTCTGACCCCATCCACCTCAAACCTCATGGTCAACTTATTCCAATTAGCACACGTCCCCTAAGGAACTCAACCACGTAATGCCCAAAACAATATTAGCTCCTCCCAACTCAAAAGGAAAGAAAACCTACCTAATTTGAATCCCTTGCACATCTAGAGAAACCTATCGGCACACACCTTCCCCTTTCACTATGACTCCATTTCCCACCATCACCCCAAATCGTTTCCCCTTTTCCACCGCAATACCAAGCCTCTCAACCAACTCCTGTGAAATAAAGTTATGTGAAGCTCCACTGTCAACCAACACCACTACATCAGTATCCCCAATTTGCCCTTTTACCTTCAAGGTCTTACGTTATACCCATGATGGAGTTCATGGACAGAGCTAAGTCGTTACCTTTTGGGTTGGGATTTTCGTCATTTTCTGGTGGAAACTCACCCTTCTCAGGCTCATCATCCTCCAACGCCAGCAAGATCTGTAACGACTTACTCTGATGGTGATTGGGCCTGAATTTTTCATCACATTGGAAGCAAAGCCCTCTTTCTCGTTTGTACTAAATATCGGCTTCAGATAATCACCGGAAACTCCCTCCTGATCCCCTTTGGAAAGTCACAACTCCATTTTTCAGTGCTCTCTCTCTCTTCTATTGGGTGCACGAGATGACACGACTTGGCTGGATTTTTGAGGTTTTGTTGAGTTGGGCCACCAAGCGGGTTGGGCCTGGACTACTGGGTAACCTTGCTGGGTTGGACCACCATATGGGTCGGGTTGGATCTGGGCTGCTGGATACCCTTGTGCAACTTTCTTTGGCTACCTGGACTTTAAAGGGTTTGGGCCGACACTTATCCATGATCCAATTTTTTTCCTCCACGCGATGGGCCTGCTCAATCACCTTTTGAAGGGAGTTGGGCCGCAGCAATCTCAACTCAGCTCTAATTTCTTCCCTAAGCCCATTGATGAAGACTCCCATCAACAACTCTTCCCCCAAATCTTTCAACGGTGCCATATGGGACTCAAAATCTTCCCTATATTCGGTCACAGTGGAGTTTTGTTTCAACGCCACCAGCTCCTCATGTGCAGAACCTTGGAAAAACGATCAGAATCTCGCGATTAAAGCAGCCTTGAACTCTTCCCACGACTTGAAAGGTTCTCGCCCTTCCACCCATTGGTACCAATTCAATGCCCTACCCTCCATGCAAACAGTCGCGACCTCAACCATCTCCGATGGTCCATATTTGTTAATAGTAAAGTGATCTGCACGAAAGGTCCATCCAAAAGGGTCTTCTCCACTGAAAATTGGAAGTTCCAACTTTTGGCCCTTCTTTTCCTCTTTCCCACATTCCCTGTTTGTTTCTTGTCCTTGCTCTCGACCATCACCAGAATCTGTATTCTCGAAATTTGGCTGAGACTTCTCTTTTTCACGGTAACGTTTCTCATCCCTTTCATCTCTCAACCTCATCAATTCTCTCATCTTGGTCAAGTATTCCTTAAGGCTACCCACATCGGTCTTAACGGAACTCATATCTTCCTACACTGACTTCATCTCTTTTTCCATATTTTCCACCCTATTATCCATCTTTGATTTGACCAATCCCTAGCGTGAGACTTGTTGGCTCTGATACCAATCTGATGGAACTCTCCTGCAAATTAGTGAATCACAGCAACACACAAGACACAGCAAAGAATATGCACATAATAGAGGAAATAGCAGATTGCATTAATTGGCACTGAATGATCATAAACAGGAACAAGTGAAATAATAGACAGATTCCCAGCAATTCGAGGAGCTGGGGACCTCCCAATTAGTCCTATGAATTTAATCCTTGATATCCTACCTCCCTCACTCCCTCCCTTTTATAAGCTAATTATTCTATTCCGTAACTAATTGACAGCCAAGTGTCCATTCTCATAACAACCTCACCATGCTCTAACAACCCTTATTGCATACCTCACCACCCCTTAACAAACTCACTCTCAACGTACCCTAACTCCTATTCCTTCCCCTACCCTTGGATTTATAGACCTTGTGTATGGGAGGTCTAACGAAGACAAGGTCTATAAATGCAACTTCTAGTTTGCAGGGGCTTAGAGGAAACAAAAACATGTGATTATGGGTTGGAAATATTTATTGTGGCGGTTGGCATGTTTAACTATGTGCTTGGGATCTACTTACCAAGCTAGAGCAATAATAGGTACCCTTTCTTTTCTCTGCAAAGTAGTTTTGCAACTTATGATATGCTGATGAGCAACTAAAAGGGCTGGTGTACCGCAGGAAGGGTAGTGGTAAGAAGTAGAGGAATATTGCTGAATATTTGTTATGTAGGAAGTTGGGATTTGTTAGGGAGGACAAATGGCATGATAGGATAGTATGTAGGTGGAATTCGGTTAGAGCAAAAAGGTGACAGGAGAGAATAAAAAGAGGGGGAGAGAGAAAGGAAGATTCATTGAGAATTAAAAAGTAAATTGGAAGGGAGGTAGCTGACCCTCGAATTCAGTATTTGTGGAGGTGGCTGAACCTCGAAGTCAGTCTTTCACTTATCATTTTCTCGATGTACTTTGCATTACTTTTTCAATGTTATTTGCTTATTGAGTACTGATAGCATATGACTACTAGATATATCTTCCATGAATGTATTGTTCTGTTGGGATTAATATAACAGTGTCTTCCTTACTGAATTGTAATTATTGATTGTGAGTTGTGGACAGATTGTTGGTAGTATTGGTTGATTCGTAGGTCAGATCCTATCAAGTGGTATCAGAGCATTGTGGTATGGGTAATGGTCTTGACGAGGATGGATTTTAGACTGGATAATATAGAGAGAGAGGTTACAAAGCTGGGAGTTGAAATTGGTACCATCCGGGAGTGTTTGGTGGAGTTACAATCATGGGTACAACGAAAGAATGAGGAAGAAGCTGGTAGAATAGAAAATGTTCAGTCTCAGCAAGAAGAAAATGCAAATGGAACCAGTGGATCTGGTAATAGTAACCAAAATCGCAATGAAATAAGGGGACGAAAATTGGAGACGCCAATCTTTTTCGGTGAAGATCCTTACGGATGGGTCTTTAGAGTTGAGCGGTACTTCAGTCTGAATGGAATATCGGAGGAAGGAAAGTTGATGGCTGCAACTGTCTACATGGAAGGAGAAGCTATAAATTGGTTCCAGTGGACGAAATCTAGAACGGCGGCAAGCTCGTGGGCTATGTTTAAGTTAACACTACTTCAAAGATTTAGTGGATCACAAGAGCTCAAACCATATGAATCCTTAATGGCAATGAAACAAACTGGTTCAGTGGTGGAGTTCCGTCATCAATTTGAAGCAGTAGCAGCATTTTTGGTAGGGGAGAAAGAAGAAATTCTGCAAGCTGCCTTTGTGAATGGACTAAAAATAGAGATTAGGGCTGAGGTTCGTTTGGCTGAACCAAATTCATTAACCCAAATAATTGAGCTGGCCCAGAGAATAGAAGAAAGGAATCAAGCATTAGAAGAAGCCTAAGTGGGAGCAAACAGGGGCTTACGTGTAGCTGGGCCTGGGTTTTCATATGGGTCCAGCAACTATTGATCTAGGAGTGCGACCCGATTTGAAATTAATCCCAAATTTCCCAACTCAATCGAATCCCTAAAATCTAACTCCAACTCCTTTTCCAATTTCAGTCGACGAACACCGGAATCTTCCATGAAGGACTCGTCGATGAATTCCTCCACTCGTGAACCATCGACGATGACTTTCCGGTCATTCTAATGAAAACATTTTCAACAACGAGAGTTTCCCTTTCGTCGAATGACAGATGCCGAGATCCAGAGGAAAAGATAAAAGGGAATATGTTTTAGGTGTGATGAAAAGTACTCGATTGGGCGTAAATGTGGTGAGAAACAATTTCAAATCATCCTGATTGATGAAGAAAAAGATTGCCCAGATCCAATTGGGGGTGGAGAAACTTTCGAAATTGAAACAGAGCAACAGGAGGAAAATGTTGAGTTTCTCTTAGTTCAGTGGTGGGGATTCAGGGTCTAAAGACAATGAAACTCAAAGGAAGAATCCAAGGTAAGGAATTGATTGTGTTGATTGATAATGGGGCTTCCCACAATTTTATTAGCTCAAAGGTGGTTGATAGATTGGGAATACCAGTGGTAGGGACTCAGTCCTTCAGGGTCAAAGTAGGTGATGGGTATAGTGTGAGGTGTGAACGAGAATGTAGGGACATGTGCATGGAGTTACAAGGGGTAACGATTGTGCAAAAAAAATTCCCATTTGATATGAGCAGTGCTGACATAGTTTTGGGTATTGCATGGCTTGAGACTTTGGGCGAGACCATTACAGATTGGAGAAAATAAACTATGAGGTTCACATTGGGAAACCAAACAGTCTATTTGTATGGGGATCTATCTCTTAGAAAAAACCATAGTATCCCTCAAGGTGATGATTAAGGCGTTATAAAGCGAAGGGCAGGGCTGTTTGATCAAGTTTGGGTAGGTATAGACTCAGTGTGAAAAAATGGGGAGTATCAATGACAAACTACTGGAGGGCTTGGGAAAGTTTAGCCAAGTCTTCGAGCCATTCCCCGGGTTACCACTTGCTAGGTCAAAAGACCATGCTATTCAGTTACTTCCTGGAACACAGCCACCAAACCTCAAACCATACCGGTACCCTCACTATTAGAAAAATAAGATAGAGGGTATTGTTAAGGAAATGTTGGCTTTGGCAATTATAAAACCAAGTATCAGCCCGTTCTCTAGCCTTGTTTTATTGGTGAAAAAGAAGGATGGAGGGTGGAAATTCTATGTAGATTATCAGGCAGTTAACAAGGTGACAATCCCGGATAAATTTCCAATTCCCGTTATCGGTGAATTGTTTGATGAGTTCAAAAGGGCAATAGTATTTTCGAAACTCGATTTGAAATTCGGATATCATCAAATTAGAGTGAAACCAGAAGACACACAAGATTGCTTTTCGGACACACGAAGGGCACTAATTTCTTGTAATGCCTTTTGGCCTTACCAACGCACTAGCAACTTTCCAAACAGTCATGAATGATGTATTCATGCCGTATTTGAGAAAATTTTTGTTGGTGTTCTTCAACAATATACTGATTTATAGTAGAGAGATGGACGAACATGCGAAGCATTTAAGCATTATTTTGCAAGTATTATTAGAGAATCGGCTGGTGGTAAATCAGAAGAAGTGTCAATTCGGGCAACTCCAGTTAGAATATCTCGGACATGTAGTGTCGGCTAAGGGTGTGGCAGTTGATCCTTCCAAAATAGACAGCATCACTATATGGCCAGAACCAAGGGACATTAGGGCACTCAGAGGATTTCTTGGGCTGATAGGCTACTACCGTCGTTTTGTTCACGATTATGGTAAGATAGCTCTTCCATTCACTGCCCTATTAAAAAAGGACTCTTTTGTATGGAATATAGCAGCTCAATAGACCTTCGAAGAGTTAAAAAGAATCATGACCAGTGTTCTTGTCCTACGGATGCCAAATTTCACTCAAGAATTTATTATAGAAACCGATGCTTTGGGAAGCTGGTTAGGGCTATGTTGATGTAAGAGAGGTGACCTATTGCATTTCTCAACAAAGGTTTGTCTATCAATTCCAAACTGAAATCAGTTTATGAGCGGGAATTAATGGTTATAGTTTTGGCTGTGCAAAAATGGCGACATTACCTCTTGGGAAGACGTTTTGTTATCCAGACAGATCAGCGGAGTCTCCACTTCTTAACTGACTAGAAATTATTGAGTGAAAGTTAGCAAAAGTGGGTTATCAAACTGTTGGGACTAGATTTCATCATTCAATATAAACCGGGACCACAAAATAAAGTCGCAGAAGCTCTTTCCAGGATGCCGAATACAGTTAAGCATCATGCTATTTCTATAGGTTGTTTTTCTAGACTAGACAGTTTAGAGGATGCAATCCAGCAAGATGCCAAGTTACGTAGGATTATACAATAGCTCCTAATTGAACCAAACAGCCACTCTCATTTTAGATTGGTGGGACACCATCTGCTGTACCATAACAGGTTAGTGTTACGTAAATCGGGGCCTCACATCCACAAGATATTACAGGAATTTCATACTTCACCTATTGGGGGCCATTTTGGATTTTTTCGGACATACAAGCAAATCTTGAATGTGGTGTTTTGGGAGGGAATGAAGAAAGATATCAAAGCATTTGTAGCTGCTTGCCACACAACAAAATAAATACGATGCATTAAGTCCAGCAGGTTTGCTGCAACCATTACCTATTCCTAACCAAGTGTGGGATGATGTCTCTATGGATTTCATTATGGGGCTGCCCAAAGCGAATAGGGTTGATACTGTTCTCGTCATGGTCGATCGTTTGACAAAATATAACCATTTTGTCACTCTTAAACACCCGTATACAGCCAAGGTGGTAGCAAACCTGTTTATCAAAAAGGTGGTCAGGTTGCATGGGTTTCCTTGAACCATTGTTTCTGATCAAGATAGGATTTTCATGAGCAACTTTTGGGCTGAATTATTTAAACAGTCAGGGACCCAT